GTTTTGAAACCAACAGACCTGGCTAACCTGAGGAGGGAGATGTATGGTAAGGGATAAACTGCTGTGGGAGGCATGGCCAGAGTCATGCTGGTGCTAACAAGAAAGCTCCAGGAGAATCAGTGCTTGTTTGGGTATGGGTGGCTTGGCTGCCTAGGGCGTTAAGCTGGTGCAGTGCCCCAGAGCACTCACAAGAGGAAACTTGAAACAGAAGCCTGAGCAAAGGATTGAGCTAGTGACCTTTTCTGTACTGAAAGACTCCTGTAGCATGAAGACACTGCTGATCCACAGCCAAAAAACAAAGCCTTCAAAACACAGCATGCAGGAAATGACTGGCACACAGTATGCTGCCAACCAGACCTCCATGTACCTGACGGGTGTGTGAAGAGAACCCTACGAGCCACCAGGGACAGGTCTTCCTCTCCAGCAGGGCACAGAGAAAGCACTCACAAAACCTGAGAAAAACAGATCCAGGGGTGTACTGAAAATGAGAAGCTGCCTTGCACCTGATCCCACCATGTCATCTGTCAGCGAGCAAGGAATTTTATTACAGTTGCACTGGCCTAGCTGAATTTGTTCTTTCAGAGACAGTGGAGGCTTAAATGGAGAATATGGGGTCCTGAGAATAGCAGTTATGGGAAAAGCTCTTAGCTCCTTGACTGGCCCTAATTTCTGATGAGGTATGCCCCGTGCAGTGACCCATGATGCAGAGCAGCACCCACAAGGCAGCCCTGGTGGCACCCTAAGAGACAGTTTGGATGAAGAAGGGAGGCCAGAAGCATGGGCAGGTAAATGTAATCTAATGTTGAATTGGCCTGCAATATTTGGAATGCGTTCAATGGTTCCAAGGTGTTCCACTTTGCCTAAACTGACCTAAGTGAAAGATTTTATTTGTGTTTTCTTGACAGAAATATTGAGAAGTCGCTAACAACAAGGTCCCAGAGAAAGAGGGGTAAAGCTTCACCCCATACACTCAGGATTCAAACCAAGGAGGCCTGCTTTGCTCTGGAGATGAGTGCAGAAGCAGTTCAGAGAAACCGAACAAAATAAAAGCCTCTGTCCCCCATTTTATGTCAGAGGAAGATGGTATTTAAATACTTTTCAGATATCTTTGAAAGAATTTCCTACTCATGACAAAACAGCAGCACCAGAAAGCTAACATTCTTGTGCTGCAGATTCTGTTGTTGTTTGACTGTTCTGAGCTATTTCCTTGCTCCCATCCATCACAACACTGACTGGCTCATTTTTTCCCCCCTCCAGTTTTTGTAGAACTAATCTTTTAAGTTTTGTGGAGTTGATCTTGGCTCATGGCACACACCCCACATCTGTTTTTCTAGGCCTTACCATTTGACTCGGAATGATTGCGTTTTAACTTCATCCCCCCACTGCTACCGTCAAGTTTCAAAACAAAGCACTCCCACCACCAAGGCATACCCAGTGCCTGCGAAGGCACATGTCCCCTCACCTCCTGGTACTGAAGAGTGGAAGGTTACTCCAAGAATTTCAGCTGCTTATTTATTATTCTTTAAGATGATATGGTGAGAGCTGACAACATAAGTTAAGTACAATTATTCTTTATGAATGAATTTTCAAAGCTCTCCTTTTGGTTCTTACCCAAAATCCTTTGAAAGCACACCCGCAGATCAGTGGGACTTGACATACTCTTACTGGGCATGTTGTTTATTCTCCCTTTTGAAATCAAGACCTGATAAACTGTCCATCCCTGTTGGGCAAGTTGCCAAAGACTTTGAGGAGAGCCTGGCTTTGGACCGAAGACCTCAGCACTGCATGTCCCAAAGTGACCATGGCTTGCCAGAACCAGCAGGTACTTGGTCTCTCAAGGTTCTCCCAAAATTGAAGCTTCTAAAACTATTAGCCCTCTTTGAAAACATAAGGCCTTAGCTTCTTAGTGCCCTTCTTGAATTTCAGTTAGGGAAATTGGAGGGGAAAAATACAGGTTTCAGAAGGACAACTGCTACATCAGAGATAGGATATACTTAAGCAAGAGCACGTCTCTTGAGCACGTAGTCAGAGAAACTCTGCTGAAACTCTGCAGATTCGTGACCTTCAGTTAAATTTGGCTAGATATATCTGGAGTGGATATGCTTTCTACCACTCTGCATCTGGTAAGACAGTTAATAAATACTTCTTTCAGCATCATCTTTCCTGTGGTATTTTGCTCATTCTAATTCTGCTACTAGGCAGAACTCAGAAATGCAGGAATGTGAAAGTTAGAGGGAAGGTTTTGTCCCAAGTGCAAAACAGTCTGGGCTCCAGTGCACATTTCCTTTGGTGTGGGAGTCAAAACCCAACAGAAAAGATGAAGGCCACAGGTTAAAGGTAAATCCCTGCCGAGGTAACCTCTCTTTCCTGGCCTGTGAGCACTGCAGAGTCCTGACCACCTTTGCTGGGTTAACCCAAGTTCTGGATGGCTACAGAACTGAAATAGTAGCATTAAAAAAAAAAAAAAAAAAAAAAAGATGTGAAAAGAAATTTTGAATGCTGCTATTTGGTAACTTAATTACCTTGAAGAACAAACAATGAGGGAAACAGTTTTCATAGGGGAAAACTAATAGGACTTAAGGAAAAAAGGTGAAGTCTTTAAACTTTTATACAGGGTAAGCTCTCTGGTTGCAATTAGGAAATGTTAGCTCAGTCAGGCATGGAGAGCTCTTCCTTGCCAACGTCCGAGTCTTGTTTTGTCTCTGATAATTCCACATTCTGCAAGAGACAGCTCATGTTTGATGGTAGTGGGTTCAACATATAAGGCTAAATGCTGTCCTGGCACAGTATGACCCTTCAAAAAAAATAGGGAGGGAGATTTTTTTTTTTTTTTACTGACAGTTTTATTGAAGATAACATGTAAGCACTAAGAATGATTATTAGCTATGTTTTTCAAACTCTGGACAAATTAATTCTCTTATTCAAGCACAAAGGAACAGCTTTAAAATATCTTAGCTGTGTTTTGACATGCAGAGAAACGAGGGATCTTCAAAACAGCCATTCTTTGCTATGAATGGTACCAGAATATGGCTTGTATCAGCGTACAGGACCGATACTGTTTGGTGTCTCCACTTTCTCCATTCAGGTTTCCCTGTTCTGTTCCCCATTCTCAGCCCTTCCCAACTATAAGCCCAAGAGTCATTTGTGACCATCAGAACAGCAGCAACTGACTGAACCAGCGGTACCACGCGTTTCCTTCAACAGCAACTCCACGTAACTGTTATGCCAACAATAAATGCCACATAACAAGGAATTAATCCACTCCACCCTCAGTCAAACCCTGCTGACATTAACCCTTACAGCTCCTCGCTGTATAAGGAAGCCTGGGGTGAAGAACAATCTATTTCTTAGAGTTATTCCTGCAATGGGCTGCATCAAAACAGGGAAAACCATCAGGCAGAATAGCTGTGTTTGAAACACCTCCCTCTAGATACGTACTTGGCTGCAGGAAGGAGGAATTTGGAGAGATGGCTGATGGATGGACACATGGATGCATTTTAGTGCAGTATAACACAACAGGACTCCTTGGAAATGAGTGTTCCTCACTTCACTTGGCCCAGAATTTCTTGTGTCTCCTTGCAGCAGGTGGCCCTTGAAGTCCAGAGAGCTCCAAGCCACCCTGCTGTTTGTAGGATGGAGCTGAGCAGCCCATACTGCTAATTGGCCTCAAGCCTCCTATATTCATTCCTTCTTCCCACCCCCAACACAAAACCCTTGACAGAGCAGGCGCACCTTGGAACAACTAAGAAACCCCAAAGATCCAGATTTGGGGAAAAGCAGGTGGAGAGCATGAACAACACATTTACAGTGGTCACCTGAGTGCAGCACTACAAAAATACCAAGAGGAAGAGTTGAACATTATTTTCTTTTAAACTACAGATGGGATGCATTAACCACAAAGGAAACACAAGAAGAGCCTGTATCTGGAAGGAATAACAAACATTTGCATAACATGCATGGTGCATTCAGTGCTAGCAGGAGGTGCTGCACGAACCGTCCAACAGGCTGAGGACCTCTTTTGTCAATGGGATTGCAAAATTAGAAGCCTCCTCCCGAAAGTGGCCTGAAAGCAGTTAACTGGGAAAGAAAGTGGGTCAGTCTCCCAGGCACAGAAACCGTTTCATCTCTCAGAGTCTACACAGCTTCCATGTAACCCCCGTATTGTGCGGCAACCAGTTTCAGGATTCCATAGTAAGATACACAGAGCAAATTCATATGACCCCATCAAAATACAAAAAGTTTTACTACTTAAACCTGTACTGAAATTTGGGTACACAAGTGCCCTAGGTGGTGGCATAACAACCTATCACACAGGAACACCACAGGCTGGGGCTGAAAGCTGTGTAACTGCAGTGATATAAATATGCTGGTGTAGCAATACCAGTCTTCCTCTCCACTCTATCCTGGAGATTGCCAGCACAGCTTCTCTCCACCACTCTACGCTGCCTCTCTCACATGTGTTGAGGTTGTAATAAATTCCAACTATTCTCTCCTGCAGGCATCAGTCAACAGTAGATGGCTTGAGTCAACAGAACTTAAAGTCATTTCAGATAAGTCAGACTCCTTTATCTACCATCTCATCCCTTTTTTCTTCAGAGGATGATGTAAGAATGGATCCATCAGACCCATAACATATAGGATCACCCAAAGCTACCTCCTCACAAGCTGTTGCCACATGTAACATCAGGGAACAAACCTTGTTCTTTAACATAAGTACTAAGGGCCTGCGTATTTTGGAGCAAAGGGAGTGTGGCTGAAATTCTTCCCTTGCTGACATTCTACAGTGCTGAGCTGTTGGGGCAGGCACCAGGAGCAACAAATGTAAAGTCAAAGGCATTGTAATGTAAGGAAAGGTTGGAGAAACACAAACAGAGTTGTCATAATAACATAAGCCAGAATTCATTACCCGTGTAACCAAAAAGAAACTACTGATATTCCAATTTCCACCCATAAATAGCTGTAGTTGGGGCTCCGAGTTTAAAAAGAATTGAATGACTTACCATATGTTGTACTGGGTGGTTTCAGTCGGAAGTCCACAAAGGATCAGTTAGACAGCAATTTTTCCTGTTGAGACAAAAACCAAGAGGTAAAAACTGCCTTGCCAAGCCCAGAAGATAAGCACAAAGACACATTGTTTTAAATCACAGGGGAGCAGAGTATGCTGGAACACATAAGGCACAAAGCAAATACAGACTCTTTGGGTGTTTAGACTACTGCTTGTCTGCGTTTTTGCAAGTTGGGTTGAATGAAAAACAATTTACAAGGAGTTCAGGGTTACTGCAGGCATGCCAGAGAGTCTCAGCAGCACAGGGAGTTGTTTAACCTGGGAAGTGAGCTTATTTACAGGTAAAGGTTCCAGGTGTTTAAAAGGCAATGAGGAGATGCAGCTCAAAGAGCGTGGTAGTGAGGAGCTGGCTCACAACTTCACAGCTAGCCCTTGTCCTGCTTTTCCCTCCATCACATGCTGTGATGTCCAAACCTCTTGGCAAATGGGTCCCACTGCAGCCTCCTGCCTTTATCCTGGACAGCTTCATTCCTGGAGATGCAGCAGTGAAGGGCATGGCCAGCAGGAGACATCCCAGGTTTTCCCTGGCCTGTTTCTGTGCCAGGGATCTACTTTGTTCCTGTGCCCTGAGCATCCCAGTTACCATCAGAAACAGACCTGGCATCCAGGCTTTCTAGTCCAGGAAACTGAGTTTACTGATGGGGGAGGTGTACAAGAGGCATGGAGAACCAGCAGAGGCCCTGCAGACACTTCACACTGGTTACTCAGTAGATCAGTCCTGGTGCCTATGGGAGAGGCAGGTTGTCTCAGTCACAGAAGACTGCAGACAGCAATTGATGGTTGCTGCAGCAATGGCTGAGACTCAACAACCTCTGTCTTCACATCTCTTCCCCTGTGCCTGCAGAGATTGCAGGTTCTCTAGGACATGGCATATCTTTTACCTTCTACACTTGCAGGCAGCATTGCAATGCTTACTGGGATCCATGGAGTATCCCTCAGCAAAGCAGTAAGGGGAGACTTTCCTTTAATCCCAATTTATCCCAGAATAGACCACTCCAGGATATTACCCAGAGTGTATTTGCCAAGCTGGTTTAAACAAATATGAGGAAGCTCCGTGAAGCAGGTCCCCTGGCGTCCCAGCCTCACCAGGTCCTGAAGGTCCCAGCCCAGAGGTTAAAAGGCAGGAGGGGAGCAAACAGCATTGGTTTTGTGTGACGCAGAGGGCTGAGAAATTTTGAAAGACAGATTATTCAAAATAAAAAGTGGTGCAAAAACAGATTAGAAAACTACTGTGCCGTGACTATTAATGAAGCGATAGAAAATATCAATCACTCCCCAGCCTCTGAAGCTTGCTGTGAGAGAAGAATTAGGAGATTTTATGTTCCAAGTACCAGGAAACCGCAGGGCCCTGGTGCCTAGTTCTCAAAAGAACACTGTTTGAATCACAGGGAGGAAAGCAGAATGCTGCAAAGAGAGCCAAAGGCAGGGTTTAAAAATAGCAGCTTTCAGTCTAGTATCTTTTTTCTTCTTCTTAAGAGCCTGGATATAGGATCAAGTCAGAGGGTGGATGAAGAGAGCAGATTAGCCCTTGTGGAGAGAGTTTCCCTAAATACAGTACTGCTGGGTGGTGGTGGGGGGGTCTCAATGTCTGGGGAAAATGTGGCACCATTCTACCACCTCCCATCCAAAACAACAGATGAACACATTGTACTTCTGGAACGATTCTGACCCTGGCTGCATTTTGGGGCTATGAATGCAGACAGCAGAGGAGAGGGGGACACAAGAGAGACTGAAGTGGAAAGCTGGCAGCAGTGATGGATATGATGAATGCTTCCCCTGAGTCCAACCTAGGAACAAGCCATGCACAAGGAATGCTGCATGCTGCTTACACTTCCCAGGCATGCCCTGGACTGAAATGCTGAGGGATTCCTGTACCCCGTTAGTGGTGGCTGCAAAGTGGGCTTTCCTGTAATTTTGGAGACCAGCAGTACAAAGCTACTTTGGAGAGAACAATGCTATTAAGGTATATTATGGGACAGCAGCAGGAAACAATGTCTGGTGCAGCCTGAAACCTAACACTTCTCCAAGAACTGTTTCACTTGATGTTTCACAGCCAACCCCCAGCACCCCAACTCCCCTAAAAAAACAAACAAACCCCAAACCAAAACCCACCAACGCTATCCCCTAACACACTTGGAACAAGCACTTGCATAACCCTGCAGTTTGTAAACCCATGGCAAGATGTTGCATGTTTAGAAACTGTGAGGCAGAAAGGAAAAATTCCTTCTAGGAAGTGGAACTCAACTTCTTCATGTATCTAAATTACAATCAAGGGCTGATCAGGCTCCTGGTACCAAACTGCTGGCTTCCTCATATCATCTGTGGCATATATAAGACGATATGGAAGAACTGCACATCTCAAGTCTCCTTTCTATGCATTTAGAACCTGATTTAGGGTATTTGAAGTAGCCTTGCAAAGAATGAAGTTCTGGCAGAACCATGTTAAGAACGAATTTGAATTTACAGCAAAGACCCAGGCGCCCAACAAGCAATTCAGTCATGTTTTGACACAGGAGAGTTCATGTCATGGCCTAGTCCAGGAAAACAAGTGGCAAAATCCTTTTCTGAAGGTGACTAAGTGGTTTGAAGCACGCTTATACCAGCAGACACTGGACCTAGGTGTCTTACCAGCTACCAGTTTCATGCTTTCCTTCTTTGTTTATCGGATAACTGAGGCAACAATATCTCATTCACCTCCCATTTTAAAGAAAAAAAAAATATATCCCCCTGAGAAGCCTTGAGATGCTGTTCTTTTCCCACATACAGCTCCAGCTGTTTTCACCTTTGCATTACTCGTTCTGTGCAGATCCAGGTCAACTCTGCAAATAACTTCCTGGCATTTTTAGAAGCCTTTCACTCTGTGATTTTTAGGTGGAATTTCAAAGCTTTCCAATAAGATACTTATGATTGGCCAGGAAGAACACACACATCATCCTTTCTCTATCTCTGTATTGGCTGAAAAGCTCCAGGATATATTTGCCAGGTGACATAAACTATGTTTTCCACATATCCTTGTATTCAGATTAGCTCTCCGCTAACAGCAATTCACCAGCAGTAAAATTGGCTATAAAACTCCGTCATCAGGTGTTTTGTGAGCCAAATCTCTGAAACCTTACACAGGATGACCTCCTGTTGCCCAGACCTAGAGAACAAGACAAAACTACTGCAAAGAGCTCGTTTTCCATTATCGCTGCACTGAATGGGCTGCATCATTAAGGCCCCAGCAGCAGGAACTGCAAGGCAGCCCCTGTCCTCAGGAGTTTAAGATCTGAGCCAGACAAAGCAGAGAATAGTCCTGAATTACCTTTTCTTGTACTGGGATATTTTAGATGAATAAAGCTGCAGGTTTTGGCACGCAGCAGCCAGCTCTGACCAATTTGCTTTGTATCCAGACTGCTTAAAAGGTACCAGGGTGAATTCATCCCTTTGATTTTTGTTTGGGCAGAATTCCAGGTCTCTTATTGAACTCCCATTTTTGATTGCACGCCATAACTGTGCCAGACAAATATCCATCCAAAGCAACAGCAGCACGTCTAGCAGATCCCCTGGGAGTTTACATTAATGTCAGTGATGTCCAGGCACCTTCTGTCCTTGTTCCTCTGCTCAGGACCATGCGGCCAGTGCAAACTGAACGATCAACAACACTTTACATGTGTGCAGAAGCAAGCCTGAGCTACCACAGTTATGACATGATGTCAACATGGGGAAAAAAAAAAGGAAACAACAAAAAACCTCCACACCTGTGCTCCTGACATGGTCTGGAGCACTGGAAGCCTCTCCTGGGAACCCAAAACAGTTGCTCATGTCTAATCTCTGCCTCAGTTTTAGCGGGGAATTTCCTCTCTGCACTTCAGGTGGAACAATATTTTAAGCAAAGCTATTGCAGCCTGATGACTGAAGAGGCAATTTAAGGGAAGGCATCCAGTAGCTGGAACTACAGCTCCATTATGTTATATTAACTATTGAGCTCAGTGTAGGAAGCCAGACAATTGCATACTGAATTAATAACGTTACTTATTCCATTTGGTGGAGCATGGAGGACACTTAATCGTCACAGCGCTTTAGGTCAAAGCTGGCATCAACAGCTCAGCTCTGAGAGTGTTTTATGGAAAACATAGAGGTGGATTGAGTAGCTGGAAGTGAAAAGAGTGTGAATGTGTGAAATACAGCAGGTTTGGTAATAATAAAGTTATATGGCCTTGATTCTTCATTTCGCTTCTAATGCTCTGGCAACACTTTGTCTTAGGGAAGAATAACCAAGTCCCTAAAGATAAGTTTGGGTTGGAGCATGTAGAGGACCGAAGATCCTATAGACCTTTTTTTTTTTTTTTAAAAAAAATAAAAAAAATATCAAAACATTTATTATTTTTAAAGCAAAAAGTATCTGCTTAACCAAAGCAAGAAAATGTCACAGACATTTTTTGGGGGGAGGAAAAAAAGTAAATAAAATAATAAAAGCTCTGAGAATGAAGAATTTTATTTGGAACGATCAACTATTAAGTAAATGTTTGCAGGAAGTTTCAGCCGTAGGAACTCTACCTTTTGAAACAGAGGGATTAAAACATTACAGAACTACAACAGGGCTTCCAAGATATCTCCCCTGTTATGCTTCTTTCATTTCTCTACTTCTTAATTTGGGGCTCTCCAATTGCCATCTCTTTCAGCCATACGAACCAGCCATCATGAAAGAATCAGCATTTTTCCCCATCACTCAGCAGGAACAGCCTATCACTACATTTCTCAACCCTAATCACCTCCAACTGCTGTGGGTTCTAAAATTCAGTTTACTGGAGAAAAAAACAACTGATCTGCCATTTCCTGGAACTCTGATTTCCATGCCTTTCACGGAACAATTTCATTGACTTCACAGCAGCCTATCTGGATTTACACCTGTGTAAAAACAAGGCAAGAAAACTGACCCTTGGTGTGGAATATCAAGTTCATAAATGTGTTTTGTCTCTCCATGAATCTCCCCATCTACCAAGGTGAACAGCTGTTGCTATAAATCAGACAGTCTGAGCTGGCCATTAGAACTTCATCCAGATGATCCGTTTAAAATATACAAAGGCAAGGTTTTGGAAATAAAATCTACCCTGATGTCCTCAGGGACATCTTCTGTTGGAGAAAATCTCACAATTCAAAGCTAAAATTAGCTCACTTGAATGCTTTTTCAGGAGAGCTATGATACTCAAGAGTAACATTGCCTCGAGAAGGCCTGTTAGATGACTTAAGGGATCCTAAACATCTGGCAGCTTGGTACATACTGCTTTGGAGACATCTAGCATCTTTTTCAACTTCTCTGTGGGTGTAACTCTGGACTGTTAGCTCAAATGGCTGTATCTGGTCCAGTTCCCATCAACCATTCTCTCTATTTGAGAAGGAAACACTTGCTAAAGTCTGGAAACAGCTGGCAGAGCTGGGTGTAGCTTGTATTAACAAAACACGCTCTTGTTTCTGACCACAGGCTGCCCTTTAAGTTCTGGCTGCAACTGCCAAGGGCTCTTCACAGCTTTTAGGGTGAGACCACGTCACCCAGGATGTACAGGCTGACTGTTAAAGGTTGACCCTTGGAGCATAACACTCACTGACAGGACAGATAAAGCTTTATGCAAAGGTAGAGGGGAGCAGGATGAGTCCCATTTTACCAACTGGGAAACCGAGAGGCAGGGTGATCAAATTATTGTCCTCGTATCACTTTCCAGGGAGAGCAAGAGAACAGTATCTTCCTTTCTCAGGGGTATGCACTAATTCAGGTGGGTCAACATGCAAGACCTAGCTACGCACCATTCACCAGCAGTTTAAATCCAACCAGGACAGGGCTGCTGGACTGAACCTCCCACTCCTTTCCATACATAGCACACATCTGCTCTTGTTCACATAAGAAGGTTAAATAGCAGCTCAAAGGGGCAAGATGGTTGATCAGTCTCACACCAACTGCACAGTCACCTATTCCCACAACAGGCAGTCTCCTCTACCTTCATGGTCACAGCTTTGTCCTGAAAGGTAAGAGCAAGCGAGGTGTCACTGTCCTGTTAGGCTTTGTTGTTCATCTTTCTAAGGGCAGTGGAGTGTCAGACACAACATGAACATGGAAAAAACAATTAAACCCAGTCAGAGCACTACCTTGAGCCCCCAGACAGTCACAGAGAGTAACAAGCCCAGCTTCTTTTGCTCAGTTCCATATGTTCTGAGACCATGAAAAGGAACTTTATGATATGCTGGAAGGGATGAAGTATTAACTATCAAAAACTAGACTGAAGTAACCAAGAGTATGGATTATTTTTTGCTTTGATACATGCTTATGTAAATTCAAATACATATGCTTAAATGCAACCTTTCTTCAATTCCAGCAGAGCTTATTAAATCTATTTAAGTGAGACAAGCTAGGCTCCGTGTAATGCCAGGAACTCCCCAGATAGTTTTCCTTCCTACTTAATATGATACTCTACAATTACACATACCAGAGCCTTTCATTCAAGCATTTTAATTTACAAATACTTTTTACATTTTTTTAATGTCCCTACGGGCAGGCAGGCATTAAGAGTCCACTTTATTCAAGAGTAATCAATCGAAGTGAGGAGAGGCGGCCTGTTTTGCTCCAGATCACGCACTGAAATACTACCAGAGCTTAGAAACCTCCTTCCTTGTCCCTGCTTAGTAGTCACTCAGAAATACAATTTCCACAATTTGATAGCAGATACATTCTCTGAATGCTGGGCCCAAAACTCTGAACAGAGATGTGGAGAACAAACTCAGTAGCCAAAGAAAAAAAACAAGGAAGCAAACAGAGACTAACCTTAACCAAAATTGTCCACAGTGAGGACCCCCTTCACCCTTTCTTCGGTAAGTTGCCTTACCAAGGGAGCACTACTCTCTGTCATGCAAATCTGTCAGGCCACGTGTCTTCCCAGCACAAAGCGTTTTCTAGGGGAGAGAGGTATTAATTACTAAATACTTACTAAAATACTTGAACTCAGCTGTGTGTTTTCTCAGCTATCACACAACAAACTGCATAGCTGCATACAATCCCAACACTCAGGCATATCTTTTCTTTTTTAACTTATCAGTTCCATTATTTCTAGAGTTTATGATGAGTTTTAAGAACATGATTTGCCCCTCTCATGGGCCCAAAGACAGAATCTGTTTAAGTCCAGTCTCCACAGCTCTGTGGAGCTTACAGAAAGCAGCCCAGTACCAAGAAATACAGGCTCCAATGGGATTCTTACCAAAGCCAGCCACAGGGCACCAGCTTGTCTTCTGCTAGGACTTCAGATTATCTCTATCAACCCCTAAGCACTGAGAAGCACTGCTGCTATTAATTCCAAGGCTTAAAAGCAATCCCTAAGAAGAGACACCCCTTTAAACTAAAATTTTTAAATAAATACCACACAGCCAAGTACCTTCTGCTCAGGAACAAACTCCCACATGACACCTTTGCTTCACACCTGCAGAAGATGCACCCTTGGGGTGGAGCTGCACAGCCTGGGGCAGGCAGGTGATGCTTTCTTTGCTGGGGTGCAGCCAAGGGCTTCAGGTGACATAGACTTCAAATGACGGGTAGAAACGAAGGCTGGAGATAACACTGCAAGTCCAAACCAAGCTATGGCAGTATTTTTCCATATGCTCTTTGTAAGTGGAGTGTAATTGTACAGATGAGGAAGCTCCTACCTTTACACTAGAACTGCTTATGAGAGAAGCAACCTTTCTGGAGAGGTCAAATTTAGGTAATTGGGGCCAGCCGTGCTGGTTCAGGGCCATGGAGAATCAACAGCCCCTAGGTATTACAAAATAAGCATCTCCCCTGTCTTTGCTTGGGCTTTATAGTGAGACAGTGACCTGGCTGCAGCGGAGACAGAAGATTAAACCCAAGGTGCAAGGGGCAGGCTGTATCTGTAGGAAGTGATCTGGGCTGCAGCACTGAAAGCTGGGAGATGAACAGCCCCAGGGATGGCTCGAAGCAAACCTTGCCCCAGCGTTTCTGTTTGCAGGTCTGTTCCTGAAACACTCTGCGCACAATGTTTAAAGGGGATAAAATGAAATCTGCCATCCCTCCATGTAAATAAAGGGATTTGTCATAAAGCTAACAGATCCTGCTCTTAAGTAGTTCCCAAGAATATGAAGTGACAATGAGGTGCCTAAGAAAATAACTTTCCCCCTGCCTGGGAAAAACCACTCCTAGGACAATAACTTTACAGCTGTGATTGATACAGGCTTTGCAAGAAAACAGGGGTCTGAAAGACTCTGTGTATGGTCTCAGCAAGGAGAACAAAGACAACAAAATAAAAGAGATATTTTTTAAGGGTCTGTGTCTTACCTTCAATTATCAGCTTGAAGGAAAAGTTGCTGGAATGGTTACAGCCCGCCAGTTGCTCTGTGGGAATGTGATATGCACCTGGCAGGCACAGGGAGCAGTGAGCTGCTGCTTGTAGCATGTTGACCACCCAAGGGACCACCCTGGTAGGTCACGTTCATCGTGGGTTCCCACTAACTGTTCCGGTGCCAATCTCTGGCTGCCCTATCACTGCAGAGGTGATGTGGACTTTTTTTTTTTTTTTTAATGGCTCCACAGAGAATTTTTAGAGTTGCATTGTACCCAAGAGGCTGAAGCAGAGAAACATGAACCTGTGACCTCCAGAGCTGAAACTCTAGGGCTCCACAGGAGTTTTGTGGTTCATTTACTATGAAGCTAGGTTTGCTGCCAGGTTTGAACCCCCAAGACTTCCTAGTACTACACCCTGATGGTCTCCCTTTGGGATACAGTACGTTCTCCTACCATTTCCCCATCTCTTCCCATGAGCTTGTGAAAACAAAGAAGCTCACGTTTGATAACTGCTCCACGCAGAATAATTAGGTGTGATCACAGAATCCAGCGATGGAAATCATTTACCCAGTGGGTCAGTCTCACTTTCCTGAAGAGGGCCCAGACCGTTGGCTCTCTCTTTTACTGAAGGTATAAATGGTTGCTGCTTTCTAAGAGCAAAGTTCTCCCAAAACTAAAGTTATGATGGACAGAGAACAAGCAAGCTCAGTTCATGAAGAAATACAACTTCCATCTTCATGTCACTCCACTGAGTTGAGGGCAACTGCAGCAGCACTGATGGTGGACTTACCCATCAAGGGGAAAACAAGGCTTCCTTCAAATCCTCTTTTATTTACTCCAGTCAGCTGTGCTGAGTGTATTGATTCAATCAGCTATTTCCTTAACCATAAAACCAGATGTGCGCCGTCACGGCCCATCTACAGGGACTGAATCAATGCCATTTAGAAAATGCAGAATAAAAATAAAAAAAATCCCAAGAAAGCTGAGATATGCTGATGTTTGGAACTCTCAGAGTTTCATAGGTAAATTGCTTTTCTTCTGAGTCCCATTTATTTTTGTTACCTCCAAAGAAATGCTGTTTTAGCCACATTTCTTGGAAGCAGCGTTGAGATCTAATGGGTTGTTACTGATTTGAATTCTCAGGGGAGAGGCTGGAGAATAGAGGGAATGCAGTATTATCTTTGCTTCTGGGCATCAGCAACTTCTGCAAGCAATACGGTGCAGTACATGTCATTCTTTGCTGAAGCAATTAATTACCTTGGTCCCCAATGAGAAGAAATATTCAGCTTAAAAAAACACTGCAGCCCTTTGGACTTGGGTTAACTTCTGGGCGTCTGGGTAGATGTGTGGATTAGGGAGGCTGGAGCACTCAGTTTTTCTTCTCAGAGCATGTTCTGATTTTCCACTATACTTCTTATAGACACTGTCACCTGAGGCAGTTCCTCTTTGAGAAGAATCCCGTAAGAAATGTGGCCTGGCTTCTTCCCAGCTTTGAGTTCTGGCTACCAGGTCTCCAGGTCACCTATTCCTAAGGAGCAGAGGAAGAGAAGGATCTGAGGGCTGTGATGATTTCTCCATTTGATGTGTCTTTCCACCATGGCAAAGGTGATAAGGTGGGGTCCACACACCCACTAACACCTGATGAACCTCCTCGTATCCTGCTCTTGCCAGGCTAGAGAGGCAGGGTGAGCAAACGCCAGCACTGCAGGAGACTGGGGCTGCTATGTCTCATCTAAAACTGCAGCTACAAAGAGGAGAATTGTACAGGAGTGGGGTGGAATTTTCTGCAGAGTGCTTTAAGCAGTGTAGCTGGAATAGGCTACGTGCCAGACTGTAGACATTCCTAGCGCAGCTTTCCAGAATGTGAATAAATTTGAAATATATGTACAAAACACCATACAAGATGGGCCCTGAAATGCCTGGAGAGTACATGGCATTGTGTTTGTATATTTAGGGTCTGAAGGGATTTGTGCAAGGCCAGACAACCCCTTCAACTCCAGTGTCCACGTATGCTGATCAATTCTTTCACTATATTGAGAAATTACCTCACAGTGTCTTACCTCTCTAATGCACAGACTCATTTCCCGTTGAATTGTCCCTTAATTGCCACCAGAAGATGATGTAGCTGTAAAATACCACAAATATCATGGGTAGGGAGGCAAAGGGAACTTGAGATTGTGTTACTTTGGAAGGCCTGAGTGGGCTCAAAGTTGGTCCATCCTGAGATCCGAGCCACTAGGGTAGAGTCACAACTGATTCACTGCAAAGGGAAGCATTATTTTAGCAAATGGATAATTCAAATTTAGGAATCACTCTATAACACTCAGGTGAGCCATATCCTAATGTCTACTTAACCTCTATGCCCAATGTACATACCGGCTCTATGTCCAGTCCTGTGCTCTTTTAACCCTTCATGGAAAAAAACACAGGGGGAGTGTATGGCATCACAGGTAGCAAATATTCCAGACCAATATAGGGTAAGTCCTTCTCTAACAGCTGAGCAGTCTCTGGGGAAAGACTGCTGCCATATAGATAGATGTGCTTTCCTCTGGTATAAGAGTCAGTGGGGGTCTTTCTGCTGACATAATAATAATCCTTCGTATCACCGAGCACTGCTAATTAAAACCAAAAGGAATAGAATATTTTCCAAAGATGACTTGCTATTTTTCCGCACTTAAGAGACTTGTTTGACATCCGAAGAGTGGAGCTGTGTGTTGGCATGGGCAAACACTTAAATTAGTCCAGAGGTAGCTTTTGTCCTTTAGTAACCATCATAGTTGCAGAAAGAAATAAGTCAACAGCAACAACAAACAGCAACAACAAACTCTGGAAACACACACAGCCAAATGTTGGATTTAAAGGCAGGAAAATGGCCTATGTACTGTTCTGCTCCTGACCTGTTCTTTACACTGTACTGTTTTGCACGTTGCTCTTTCTCTTCCCCAGAGCGGAGAGAAACCAGATCTTAAAACATTCACAACGAATTTTCAAATCAATAACATGTGAGACTTTGTCTAAAAGGTAAAGTTGTTGTAAAAATCAATGTCAGAGAGAAGGCTTTGCCAATTCAATTATACTTGTTCTTCTCAAGCTGAAAAAAAAAGGAGAAACAAAAAAAGGAAAAAGATGTGGGCTTATTTCAAGCCCAATAAATGTTCCTTGGGCTAACATCCCAATTTTGTAAATATTCTCAGGGTTTCTCAAGCCAGGTCCCCTCAAGGGGTCGTAATTAACTCTAAATAGGGTTACCTTGATTTAAAATCAGCCTCATTTCAAGCAGTGTTTCTGCCTGTGTCCACAATTTTAAAATAATGTTGTGTCCATTAGATGGCATGAAAGCTTACCAGAAATAGGAATCAGCTTTCAAAACTTAAACACAAGTAAGTGTGATTAGACATGGCAGCTGTCTAGAAAATATTCAGCTTTATCACTGAGTATTGGGCAAAATATGAATGATTGTACCCATTCCAGTAAGCGCAGAACCAGAAAGGCTCCCACATTACCCTCTGCTTCTCAAGGCAAGTTTCATTTTAAAGCTTGACCCCAAAGAAAAAGAAAACAGCAGATATAAGTACAAACAGCTGTGCTCCTGCTGGCTTAGCTGGAGACTTCAAGGAGCTTGTGAATCACTCACCCAAAGACATGCTGTATACAGCACCCAGCCAAAGTGCTGAATCCAGGCCACCGTGGGTAGAGTGAATGGTGCGGCAAAATCCTCATACAGCTGTGGTATCACAAAGGTGCACGTGGCACAAGATTTCCTCTCTGGCCACGATCTCTCTTTGTCCCATACTACCTGTTACGCACCAACCTCTCTCATGCTGCACATGGAATGAAAATTTTTTGGAACAATAATAATATTTTTGATCTGCATTCATAGAGGATAGTCCTGAACTGTATTTCAGGTGCTGGAAGCTGCTTCGATGCCAAATAATATAGACAGAATCAAGAGCTCCAGTCTCTGATCTGAACTACTTGCATTTTTTGCCGTAGCATGGGCATGCCACCTCTGTGCCTTGTGGATAGGAAATAACACATCTGTCCTGCACGGCTGACTAATACACACCCTGATGTGTGCTTGGTACCGTTTAATGCCAGACACTTCTCCCTCCACCAGAACAAAGACATGGCAACGTCCTTGTATCCAGGTATAAGGCTTGCCACATCCTGCTCCTTGTCAAAAGGCTGTCAATAATCTTCTCACAGCTGAAAGAAAACGCCTAGGAAATAAATACCAACACCAGTAATTTAGGTGCAAAGCCAAACTCTGAATGACCCTAGCCTCTCTCACATGACAGAAATCTCTTATAAATATACACCAAATACAAAATCAGTTACAGAAATACCCTGAAAAATCTGTACTTGGTTAAACTGAAACTAAACCATGTCAGGAATTTGGGTAAGTTTTTGCTTAAAGTCTATCATTATTGGCACTTGATCAGATACAGATAAGTTAGATTTCCAGCTTGTAAAGAGAATAACACAAAAGGAATTGGAGTAGATTAATTTCACATGTTTCGTTTCAGGACAGGTAGTTTTTTAAAGCACTAAAGCTATGTTAATATAACTCTGCATTACAACGGAGCTGTAATTTACAGGAAAAGTTTTAAAGCCTGTAGTCCATGCATTTTTGCAATGTTTAAAAGGCTTTTTTTTTTTCCCCAATATGGTGTCAAGTGAGTAAGATTCAGAAGGTGTTGAACACATTATTTTATTTATTACTGTTTTTACCAAACACTTAATCACATTCTTTTATTTGTTCCTCACCAGGAGAACAGAGTTCAAAGGTATATTTTGTGACTTTTTAAAAGTCACGTTTCTCATTACATTTTCCTTCTATGCTACTGTAACACCAATCCCAAACACAACTGGGATTGTGTTTGTGTACCTGCAGTACAGTACAGTGTTCAATACCTGCACTGAAGAGTTTACTACTGCAACAGACAAAAAGAGAAAAGGCAGAAGCACTCCTTGCATTTCACATGGGGAAGTGTGACAGGGACAATTCAATGCTCTATCCAAGATCCTGTGATACCTTTGGGAAAGGGAGGCATAAAACCTTTAAATCCCTTGAGATTTGATCTGCATCCTTAAACACGTCATCTGTTGCCCAAGAACGATACAGATGGGTCTCCTTGGAGGGGTGATTGTTCCCTGCAGATGTTCCTGACAGCAGCTATCCTAGCACTGTACATTTTTATGGCTGTCCTGCAGGTGATGCATACGAAGTAAGAAGCTGGTGGTCATTTTCCTGCTGTGCAAGAAGACAGCAACTTTGAGCATGAAGTAGAAATAGGGAAGTAAATAACTGCACATGACCATGAAAAATAGTAGTGGAACACAGTAGTTTTCAGAGGAGGTTATGAAAAGCACAGGAGCATTCTTTGAAAGGATGTGGCCATTTGGAGTAACCGCATCTCAGATGCTAGGACCAACCTATTTATGATTGCTTCTTCCCAGAGGAATCACTTCAGGGAAAACCGTGTTCATTCACAATGCCTTACCGACACAAGTCAGTCTCCCTCCAGCACCACACTGAAAATGCAGTTCTAATACACTTCTCACTAGGACACTGAAGACAAGTGATGTTGATAAAGAACTCTGGAATCTGCATTTCTAGGGAAGGGGGTTATATCACCAGGATTTATGATGAAAACCTCAGTAGGCAGAGCACATTGCAGGACACAAACCTCAAAACATCCCCATCAAGCCTCCTTTTCTCCAGAGATCTCTGCTAACACTGCAGAAGCAATAAAATACTTTAAACATACTGCATGGACAATAAATAAAGCCAACTGTCAAAGTACAGACCAACAGATCAACTGGATATGCTCCAAAAAATATCACAGTGCTTTTAAGCTATTTCCTTTTCTGTTAAAAAGGTATTGTATCTGGTTCTTTACCTAAACCATTGCTAGACAAGAGGGAAGAGATATTAAAACTCTTGCAGACATTAAAGTATTAGAACACTCTAATGTTTTACTGGGGAAGAAACACACAATGGGGAGGGAATATCCTTGCAGTATCTTTTCACAAGTTAACTGGCAGCACTAAAAGCCATTTATTTCCAAAAGCCTGGACTGATGTTACATTGGATCTCATGAAAATAGCCATAAAGTCTGATTTACCAAAATGACTCCAATGGCTTTAAGCCTTGGTGAATGACAGAGAACCCTAAAAGTAGTGTGAGTCTATAAAATCAACACAGTGTTTGATATAAATATGGTTTTGCAAGTTAAAATGAAAATATCGAATTTTCTATTAGGAAATCACAGATAATAGACCAGCTAGGGAAAAACAAAACAAAACAAAACAAAACACAACTGTTTGAAGACCATGAACTTTGTAGATATTGGTATGAAAGGCAAGCTTTTTTAGAGTATAATCTCATTTTTATTGATTGTCAGAAAAATGAAAAACCCCTTGCACAAGGTGATGGAGAAGTCCTACTGTGACCCGGCTGTAGATATGGGGACTTGAATTAATCTTGTGACTTGTTTTAACTGAGCTGCTCCTGCATGGTGCTGGTATTTCTCTCATCAGACACCCCTGTGAGCCAGACTGTGCTGTCATTTCTACTCTACAGGTGGGGAGCAAGGGCAGACAGGAGTAAGGAGTAAGGGGCCAGAGTTCTAACTGCACTTGTTTAAGGAAATTAAAGTATTTGTTGAAACACAGCTCAAGCATGCCCATACACAGCTTGATTCGTTCCTAGCCCACTCAAATAGGAGTGTACTAAATAGTATAAAATACAACACCTGGATGTTATGATGAAAGGTCAGAACCACCTGTTGCAGAATATGCCAGCTACTGTGATCCCAATGGCTTTCCTGTGCTCATCCTCACTGTGACTATCAGCAAACTACACAGAACAGTTGCAATTTCACTGGCCTCAAGACTGTGAAAAATGCAGCTTGTAAAATGCAACAATAAGGATGCCATTGGTATCTGCTCCAGTCCGTTCATATGTCAACAACCACACCACACGGAAAGGTATTCTGAATGCCTAGTAAATGGTTTCCATATAATTTTAGGGAGGAAACTGGCTTTTCAAGTTAGTCCCTGTAAATTCTGAAGACAACTTAATAGGTCAAGGAGTTTCTGCCAAAGGAGCTCTGCCTCTGC